CACTGCTGTTAAGAACGAAGTTAAGTAGTAAAAGCTTAAGCTTGTGGTTGTAAGTCCATGAAAGAAGCAACTCTAACACGACCCCGTACAAAGGGGTAAACTTATTTTTTCCCAAACCTTTCATGTGAATATCTATTTTTCAAAACAGGGCTGGTGTGAGATACGAACTCGTGACCAATAGGTCAAGAAAGCTCTGATATCATGTCAAGAAACAAATTCAACTATAAGCTTCAAACTAGAAGTTTTAATCTCAAAGAAGATTTAATACTCTAACAACTATTTTCATTTCATTTTAATTGCTTATCTAGTTTCTATAAACGTGGTATTCAGTTTAATGTTCTAACATCAATTGAATTTTAAAAGTTTAACATTCACTTTGTAAGATTGAAATTAGAATAACTACATCTCATTCCTTTTTTTTTCAATTCAAGTTAAAATTTTGGAGTATTCCAATTTGTATGGTTTATTTATGTTATTGTACCACATTTCTTTAAAAACAATTTTCTCTGTTTATAATTAGCAAGTATGGCCTGTCCATAAGAGGTATGCACTGATCTCATGTTTTAAGATCACTTGATGCACAGTAGTAAGATGAAGTAAGTGCATCTCACTAAGAGTCAGTAGAGGTGTAAAAATGCAGCAGGGTGGCTCATTGTTTGGACATTAGGAGCAGCTACAAAGAGCTTTCTAGGACAGTTAAATTATTCCATTGAACAGACAAATTGACGAAAACGGACAGGAAAAAACAAGCAAACAAACACCTGACCTACTTCATATTCATATTACTCATAATTTGGAATACTAAATAAGTAATCAGCAGGAAAATTAAGTTAAGCATTGCGGTACCTAAATCGAGAACGATTGAAGATAGCGCATTCAGTAAGGCCACACCAAATCAACCCTATATACAAAAAAAATGGAACTGAATGTCAAGAGGAACATCTTGTACGATAAAACTGGTTTTGTTACCCATTTTGTTAACACTCGCGAAACGAAGATCTTGAGATATTTATCCCATGTCCAATAGAACATTGTCTGCAAGGATACAAGCCAGAACGTCAAATTCAAACAAGAATGCGTTCAGTTTAAACATAAATCAAACGCAAAAATTATCGTATTAAAATTTGGACTAGCTAGTGCCAAGATTTTCCTCCTTTTAAGTTCAGCTTATAAGTCCAAGAAGATATGTAATCAATTGATTTATAAGCTGAAAGAAATTATAAATAATTTTGACCAACTTATAAGTAAAGAAAAAAACTCACATATACCGAGTAGTTCGTTTACAAACTCAATAAAAATTTTAAAAATGCAATGCATTTGGAGTAATGAGTCACAAATCTTCCACCGTGTCTATTTGTGTGGTGAAACGCAATGATTATGTGTGGAATAAGGATATACATAGCGGTGAAAAAAGACAAAGAAACCTGGTTAAAAAACCACCTTATATGGAGTAGTTTACAAACTCAATAAAAAAAATTAAAAGTGAGAGTCTATTTGAATTGTGAAACACAATAGTTATGTGTGGTATAAAGATATATATGAAGGCGAGAGAAGACAAGGGCACTTAGGTAATTTTTAATTTTACTTTAAAGTTTAAAAAACCCACTTATTCAGAGTAGTTTACAAACTCAATAAAACATTTAAAAGTGAGAGTCTATTTGTGTTGTGAAATATAATGCTTATGTGCAGAATAGGGATATGTATGGAGGCGAGAGGAGAGAAAGACACCCGATGCCCTAGGTAAATTTTTTTATTTTATTTAAAAGTTTAAAAAATCCACTTATACGGAGTAGTTTACAAACTCAACAAAAATTTAAAAGTGAGAGTATTTGTGTTAAGAAACACAATGGTTATGTGTGGAATAAGGATATATATGAAGGCGAGATGAGACAAAGGCACCCGGTGCTCTAGGTAAATTTTTTATTATACTTTAAAGTTAAAAAACTCACTTATCCGAAGTAGTTTACAAACTCAACAAAAAATCTAAAAGTGAGAGTCTATTTGTGTTGTGAAAAACAATGATTATGCGTGGAATAAGGAAATATATGGAGGCGAGAGGAGACAGGCATCCGATGCTCTAGGTAATTTTTTTTATTTAGTAAATTCTTAATTGATTCTTTATAACATGATACTTTTTATATTTAGTTTTTTATTATCAAATATTACGCATGTGCTTCTTATTTTTTGGATGGTCCTTTTCATGGATAGTCTTTTTTTGACATTCTGTTATATTGGTGTTAATTAAAGGGCTAAAAGTTTGATTTCAAAATGACCATATATTTCTTGTTATATCCAATGCCAAAGATCGATTCTGATGTGTCATTTGTCGACTAGAGTGGTTGTCTATTACGGAGTACAACCATAATTTACATATGTCGTTTTTATTGCAATTTTAACCCACAGCCTTAGTCATGTTGTCCATTAAGAATGTCACTGGACATAGTGGATTTAAAGCCAATTAAACTGTTAAAGAGTGTCTCACATCGGAACTTGTAGAGAAAAATAAATCAGTATACAAGCTCTTGAGTTGAACTAAGTAATCGATTGGATTCAATCTTTTAATGTGATTCAACCCAAGTATTTTATGGCCCAGTCCAGTGATCCATACCCCATCACAAACTCTATCATGGTATCGAAGTAGAGTTGTAAACGAACCGAATCGAATCGAATATTCATGAATAACATTTGTATTCGTTAAGATAAAGTGATATTCGAATTCGAATTCGAATTCCGTTCAAATATTTTTTTAAGATTCATATTCGGTTTGTTTAATATATTGAACATATTCGGTTCGTTTAAATATATTCGGTTCGTTTAAAAATATTTGATTCATTTAGATTTTAAAATATTTTATAACCATTTAATCTATTTATTTGCTATTATTTTTCTATATATATACACACACACACAGATATATATATATATATAGATATAGATATATATATATATACATAGTATAATTAAATTTATTTTCCGAATACATTTGTCAAACTCACGAATCGAATACCCTTGTTTCATATTCGTATTCGATAAGGATTCGAATATTTATTCAGATTCGTATTCGTATTTGAATTTGAAAAAATCGAATACGAATCACGAACCGAACTAAAAATATTTGATTCATTTAAAACCCTATATCGGAGTCAAATTTAGCTCACTTTGGCCCAGTCTTTAGACTAGTTGTTCGTGTGGGATGTATATCCAACGACCTTGACTTGTTTAACCCATTGATCATCTGGAAGTCCATACCCAGTGGCTCATGGTCCTTGAGGTGTTGGTGCTAAAAAAATCAAGGGGATGTGAGTCCATTTCCAAGTGGTCAACCGGACTAAATTCAAAATGACCCAATTATCCACTTGAGGGGAGTGTTAAAGAGTGTCTCACATCGAAACTTGTAGAGAAAAATAAACAATATAGATTATAAAAGGCAAAAAAGTAAAAAGTAAATAGAAGGAAATCGGTATATAAACTCTTGAGTTAAACTAGTAATCAATTAGATTCAATCTTTTAGTTGAATCCAAGTGTTTTATGGCCCAGTCCAGTCATTCTTACCAAATTCTAAATTCTATCAAAAGCTTAAGCTTAACCCATGAGATGTTAGCATATATATAAGGGTGAAGCGCTACCTATCAGTTAAGCTTTTGGATTAGATTAGTGGATCCCGACTTAATATGCAAGTAGTTAATTTTACCTGACACTCTACTTGTTGTTCTCAGCTTGCCGAAATTTTAACATAGTATCGGAGTAGATCCGATCTGGGTTCGATTCTTGCTGTTGTTTGACGTGGGTTTAGCAAAATAAACTACCCGTCAGTGGTTTGGATTGAATTGGCAAAAAAAGATTGAGATGCCACCGTCTATTACTGTGGCTAGCTATAAGAGACTGAGATGCTAGACCTGTTTGTCCAAGTGCTAACTAGGTAAGGCTAGGTACGGAGAGTGTTGGAGTTCTCACATCAGAAACTAAAAATGAATACTACTAGAATATATAAAAGGGTGAAGCCCTACCTATTAGCTTAAACTTTTAGGTTAAAATAGTGGATCTTGATTTTATATGCAAATGATTAATTTTAACACAAACAAAAGAGAGATGTAAGCCAACTATTAAATCCAAAATTGTCCATTTAAGTTTTGATTTTGCCAAATTCTCCACGATTCATTGGATTCAGTCATTCATGCAATAAGAATTGGTCAAGCTTTTGGGTAGATTTGAATTCTGACCTTTCTGCAGAAGTTGCAGGTGAAATGTTCAAGTGTTCTTCCTTATTTTTTGTACAATTTGTAATTTATATTTAATTTTTTAAAATATTGAGTAATACAAATAATACATATATAGTTATTTTACTCATGTACCCCTTAAAAAAACCATTCCAAAGTCGTAGTCTGTCTCAGTGTCTCCAAAATCCAGATTGAAGTTCAAGGTGCAGGTCTTCTTTCCACTTGATAATAGATACTTGACATAAAAAAAAATTGGTTTATATTTTCATTTTTGATTTATAAAATATGTGTTTATAATTTTTTTTCAATAGCTAATGCATAAATCTGTCCATACAAAGAGTTTTTGAAAAATAGTTTAATATGAATTAGGGTTTTAATGAATAATTTAAAGGGTTATAAAATATTTTAAAATCTAAACGAACCGAATAAATCAAACAAACCAAATTTTTAAAGGAATTGAATATGTCTAGTATAATAAACGAATCAAATATGAATCTCAAAAAATATTTGAACCGAATCCGATTTTGAATGTCACCTTAAATTAGTGAATACAAATATTATTCATGAGTTTTTGATTCGGTTCATTTACAATCCTACTTGTGTAGTCCTCAACCTGCCTTTGAAAATCAATGCTAATTGAAAATATAGAGAAAGTTGGTGTTTGTGTAGTTGTACGTCCAACCACCAAACATGAATGGTCTATTGAATGAATGGGTCTTATTGGTGAGTAGACTTGAAAACAGTAAGTCAAGGATAATACTACGTCAAGTTTGAACAGTAAAGGGTGCTTGTTTTTTTATTATTACTAGTAGCCATTAGCCAAGCCACCACATTCTGATTTTTTGCTTCTGCAATGGAATACCAGCCTATTCTTCTTCTTCTTTTTCTTGTCCTGTTCTCAACAGTGCTTCTCAATCCAGTGCACATTCATGCACAAAACAACAGTGGCACTATACTTGTTGGGCAGTCTCTGACTGCAGCTCAGACCACCTCCAGAAGACAACCGTGGGTCTCCTCCCCTTCGGGCGATTTTGCATTCGGGTTCCAGCAACTTAATGGCACAGACCATCAGTTCATGTTGTGCCTATGGTATGCTAATGTAACCGAGGAATCCATTGTATGGTATGCCAGTGGCCCCCCTGCACCAGAGGGATCTGAAGTGCAGCTAGATGCCGATCGTGGTCTGGTTCTCAGTGATCCTCAAGGAAGAACACTGTGGAAATCGGACGGGTTCAGTGGGAAAGTTGCTTACGGCATTCTAAATGACACCGGGAATTTTGCCCTTCTTGCCACGAGGAATTCTTCCACCAATCTATGGGATACCTTCAGACATCCAACGGACACTCTTCTGCCTGGCCAGGTGATGGATATTGGGTCCCAGCTCATCTCCCGCCGCTCGGAAGCCAATTTCTCACAAGGCAGGTTCTATCTTGTGATGAGAGATGATGGGAATTTGGTGCTTTCAACCAAAAGCCTTCCAACCAATACAGATTTCGATGCGGAGTACTACAACACCCAGACGTCTGATCCTTCGAATCAGACAAATACTGGCTTTAAATTGATGTTCAGTGAGAATGGATCAGTGTCTATACTTAAAAGAAACAATGTAGCGGTGGAGCTTAAATCTGTCTCTAACTCCATATCTATGGAAAATCATCTGAGACTGACTCTGAACTTTGATGGAGTGCTGGGTCTTTATCAGCATCCCAAGAATCCTGTTGGTAACCAAAGTTGGATTCCCCTTTGGACTCAACCAGATAATATTTGTCGGGCAATTGCTGGGAACTATGGAAGTGGGGCTTGTGGATATAACAATGTCTGCTCGCTTGATACTAACAACAGACCATATTGCGAGTGCCCCCCAACTTATACGTTGGTTGATCCCAGTGACAAACATGGAAGCTGCACCAGGGATTTTCTTCAGATATGTAATAAGGAGACTTCAGGTGAAGATCTGTACAATATTATTGAGATAGCTAATATGAATTGGCCCTTTAACGACGTGGAACACATCAATCCATACAGTAAAGAAGAGTGTAGGGCTGCTTGTTTGAATGATTGTTTATGTGATGTTGCAATTTATGGAGGCAGCGGTTGCTGGAAGAAGAGACTCCCGCTGTCAAATGGGGTTAAGGAAATAAGCGGAGATACAATAGCTTTTCTCAAAGTAAGGAAAGGTATTGTTCCTCCTAAAGATCATGGCACTCCAGCAAGTCTAGGGGAGAACAAGGACAAAGGTTTCTTAGCTAATAAAGTGCTCTTGGGAACCTCTGTGTCTGTCAACATTCTACTCATTGCTGCAACTTGTTCGGTATTAGTGTTTATCATTCATAGCAGGGATTTCAAGAAAACAGCCTCTGCTTCCCCTCTGGTGCAATCAAATCTGTGTTGTTTCTTGTACAAAGAGCTTGCAGAAGCCACAAAGGGGTTCACAGAAGAAATAGGCAGAGGGGCTTCGGCAATTGTTTATAAGGGAGAGACACAAGTGGGTATTGTCGCTGTGAAGAAGCTGGATCGACTGGATCAAAATTCAGCAGTTGAGTTCAAAGCTGAGATGAATGTGATTGGCCAAACACATCACAAAAACCTGGTTAGGCTACACGGGTATTGTAACGAAGACCAACATCACATATTGGTTTATGAGTACATGAGCAATGGAACACTAGCAAACTTCCTTTTCAGTGATCTAAGGCCATGTTGGAGTGAGAGGGTTAAGATCGCGATAGGGATTGCTCATGGCCTCGCATACCTACATGATGAATGTAGCACCCAGATCATTCATTGTGACATCAAGCCTCAAAACATACTTCTTGATGATCATTACAATGCCCGAATATCAGATTTTGGGCTGGCAAAGATTCTAATGCTGAACGAAAGTAGAACAAACACCGGCATTAGGGGCACAAAAGGATATGTGGCTCCTGAGTGGTTCCGAAACAACAAAGTCACAGTGAAGGTAGACGTGTACAGCTTTGGGGTGTTGCTGATGGAGATCATAACTTGTCGGAGAAATGTGGAGGATGTAGAAGCATGTGGAGAAGATAAAGCTATTCTGGTTGATTGGTTGACCGATTGCTTCAACGATAACAGATTGGATTTGTTAGTTGAAGACGACGCAGAGGCTTTGGATGATATGGAGAAGATCAAAAGGTTCATAATGACTGCAATATGGTGCATTCAGGAAGACCCTTCTCTGAGGCCAACCATGAGAATGGTGACCCAAATGCTTGAAGAGATTGTTCAAGTTCATGTGCCTCCTTACCCGTATCCTCTTACTGGTACCAACTGAGACCTGTTCTATTTCAGGGGAGTGATGATAACAAATTGAAATATTTTGTTATATTTCAAGAAGGGAGTAGGGGTAATGCCTGTGCATGAGAAATTTTTCTTGGCTTGTTGTTGTTCGTGATTTAAGGTTTATGTTATTTGTTTTACTACTGCATTATTTCTCAAAATTTGAAATATTCATAGTTAAGTGCAATAATAGACTCAAAGATTCACTTTGAGCATGCAAACTGAAAAGAACACATGCCTAGATAGGTTCTTTCTTGTTATAGCGTACTCCCTGCATCTGAATTGTGTTTCTGGAAAAAATGTTTAATATGAACAAAAGAAGGTAACTTTCAACATCTTTAATCTTTGGAAAATTCGGCAAACACATTACCCAGTATCGGCAATTTGACAAAAACACAGGAGATGCCGAAAAAAATAGAAAAAAACAGAACGTTTTGGCCGACAGAGGTGATAGTTATATTATTTGTTCATTTTATAGTTCACAATGTTTTGTCCAATAGCTAATGCTTGGTATTGCTTTGATTGAATTCCCCTTTTCTTTTCTTTTTTAATAAAAAGTGTCACAAACGAGTTTAATGTGTTGAATTTAGTTATAACAACAAATAAATTTAAGAATATAGCAACATTTGATGTCTTCCCATAGTATTTTTTTTTAACAAAGCACAATTTATATTAACTCCCAAATATCAACATCCAGTACAAAAAAGCCATACGTACAACACAGGGGACCAAATTAAACTAACAACACGCTACACCCATCCTTTGAATACAACTACCTACCTATTAATGGAAACGAAATTAAGTTGTTCTTTGATAGCCTTCAGAGTACCCTCCATAGCCACCTCCTTGTTACGAAGCTTTGAATTTCTGGCTTTCCAGATGAAGTAGCAACAGGTTACAATGCATGCAGCGATGAATCTCCTATCCTTTCTATTCCTTCCCAACTCAGCAATGGAACACGAGTCAAGGTCATATTGGAAAAGCCTAGACATGTTTTGGTGAATATCTTTTGCAAAAGAGCAGCTACAAAAGAGATGATCAGCTGTCTCACTTGCCATGTTGCACAGGATACAAGTAGTATCAATTGATAAGAATATACTCAGTCTGTCCTTAGTAAGAATTCTGTCCCTCCAAATCAACCAAGCAATAAATTGATGTTTAGGAATGGAGATTTTATTCCAAACCAGTTCAGCCCATTCCACTCTTGGATGAGTTGTATACCCTTCTTTAACAGTGTATCCATGGTTTGTGGTCATTCCAGAAAACTCTTTCCTGATTAGAATCATCTTCTTCTAATAATAGCAGTCATCAGGCTTACTTTCATATGTCCGTATATATTTTTTCTTCAGGTATCTACTGTATACCCATTTAACCCACAGAATGTCTTTCTTAGAAGCAATATCCCAAATTAACTTCATAACACAAGCCTTATTCCATACCTGCAGATTCTTCAAGCCCAGTCCACCTTCTTGTTTGGGCCTATAAACTTCCTCCCGTTTCATCAGAGGAGACTTTTTATAATCTGATGAGGAGCTCCGGAGAAAATTCCTGCAAATAGCCATAATCTTCTGCATAACCTTGCAGGGAAGTATAAAGATCCTACACCAAAATGATATCACCCCATATAGTACAAAGTTGATCAGCCTCGTTCTCCCAGCATAGGAGATGTGTCTAGATGCCCAAGAAGAGACTTTCAATGTGATCTTTTCTACCAACTTATCACATTCCTTATCACTCAGGCGAGATTATCACTCAGGCGAGAGTCTGTAATTGGACCTCCCAAATATCTGAATGGGAAAGATCCCTCAGACATTTTTTTGATTGGTGTTATGTAGCTCATCAGGGACTCCCCCAACTATCACTCCCCCAACTATGTTTTCCCATAGTTGTACCTTACTAAAATTTAAATTTCTAAATTTATGAAACACCGCTCGTTCTATGAGACAAAAGTTGTATATACAGGTTTGCAGTTTGTACAGAAAGAAATATGAGAGCTGGGGAAATAGGAAACTCTAAAATATCAAAATTGGTTATTCTTGGTGAAAGTGTTTGTTAGATAGAGACAAATCAAAATGGTGCTCATTTTGACCTACCATGAAATTGCTTTGATTATTTAAAAGTTGCATAAAACAATGATTATGCATCAGGTGGAGTTTGATAATCAAAAGGACAAGGATGTCGGGGAACTGTTTTGTGGGAGAAGAGACTGGAGAGTATAAGTATACCCCAAACTAATCAATTACCAATAGCACTGTTCCTTTTGTGAAAAATGACAACTATACTAGACGACTGAAGATGACTACATTGCTGAAAATATGAAGTCTGAACTAGTAGAGGCAGACTTTTTATTATTTGGAAGAGGTGAAAAGGGAAAGATTAGCTAATTTTGCTCTTTCATCAATGTTGTTAAGAACCAACTCAAGTAAAAGCTTAAGATTGTGGTTGTAAGTCCATTAAAAATTTACTCTAACACGTCCCCTTACAAAGGGCCAAGATTGTTTTCACCCAAACCTTTCATGTGAATATTTTTTTTAAACAGGCCTGCGGTGAGATTCGAACTTGTCACCAATAGGTCAAGAAAGCTCTAATATCTTGTCAAGAAACAAATTAAACTACAAGCTTCAAACTTAAAGTATTAAGCTCAAAAAAGATTTTATACTCTAACAACTGTTTTCATTATAATTTCTTATTTAGTTTCTATAAATGTTGTATTCATTTTAATGTTCTAACATCAATTGAATTTTAAAAGTTTAACATTCATTTTTTAAGATTGGAATTAGAATAACTACAACTCATTCTTAATTTCTCAATTGAAGTTAAAAATTTGGAATATTCCAATTTGTATGGTTTATTTATGTTATTGTACCATGCTTTCTTTTCAAAGCATTTTTCTCTGTTTATAATTAGCAAGTATGGCCTGTCCATAAGAGGTATGCACTGATCTCATGTTGTAAGATCACTTGATGCACAGTAGTAAGATGAAGTAAGTGCATCTCACTAAGAGTCAGTAGAGGTGTAAAAATGCAGCAGAGCGGCTCATTGTTTGGACATTAGGAGCAGCTACAAAGAGCTTTCTAGGACAGTTAAATTATTCCATTGAACAGGGGACAGGAAAAAAGAAGCAAACAAAAACCTGACCTACCTCATATGCATATTACTCATAATTTGGAATACTAAATAAGTAATCAGCAGGAAAATTAAGTTAAACATTGCAGTACCTAAATCGAGAACCATTGAAGATAGCGCATTCAGTAAGGCCACACCAAATCAACCCTATTTGCCAAAAAAATGGAATTAAATGTCAAGAGGAACATCTTGTACAATAAAATTGGTTTTGTTACTGACTTTGTTAACACTCGCAAAACAAAGATCTTGAGATATTTACCCCATGCCCAATAGAACATTGTCTGCAAGGATACAAGCCAGAATGTCAATTCAAACAAGAATGTGATCAGTTTAAACAGAAATCAAATCTAAAATTCTTCTTCACGCCATTACCTCAATGTTTTGGCAAAATAATTAAGCAAGATTGAAACACAGAACATGTTGAATTGAATCAAGCACAACAACTCTTTGAGCTAGGGATTCAGCTCAACCGTATAACATGAAATTAGGTATTTATATCAAACATATAGAGTAATAAATAGATTTGAATTTTGCAAAAAATAGGGGAGGCATTCCCCTGGTTTTTTAAATAGGAAAAAGAAAAGAACCCTGTGATTATTTTTCAATTAAAAGCATTTGTATGATAAATGAATCTGAATTTGCAAAGAATTAGGGGGAGTGCAAGTTATGAAGAGTACATCGTCGTCGTCGTCGTCGTCGTCATCAACTGTTATACAAATTGCACACATTTACAGTAGGGGGGGTGTGAGTGATGAAGAGTACATCATCACCACCATCATCATCACAAGACATATGGTTCCTGGTAAAATGAAGTACTCGAGACAATAGAAACTCAAACCCAACCTCAATTATCACTTGTTTATTTCAGAAGTAACAAAACAGCTTTAAAACACAATGCCAGTATACAGTATAAAAATGCATCAAATCAAATGCTATATAGAGTAACAAATAAGGATCTGGCTTTTGGCCATCAAGCAAAACCTAGTGTATAATGAAGCAAAACCTAGCTTACCAGGTCTTGCAAACGGCTATCCATTTCACCACATAATCCGAGGGGGAATCTTCTTGGGATGAGCTAAGATGACTTTCGGGGGCAAATAGGCGAGCATCTTCTTGGCGGTGAAATGCACATCCCTTTGCAAGACCTGGTATGCTCTTCTTCGTTAGGGATCTGGATTCCTGAGGCAAATATTCATCAGACATCTTTCTTCTTCTTTTTCGTTCTTTCACGTATCTTTGGACTACTAAATCCAAATCGAAATTTACTCATGACATTGGACATTGGGATCTGAAACAAGGCATAAAATTTATTACTTTGAAATTATTTTATTTTTAAATTGATATAAAAATGAAAGTACAAGTATTCTACGTAGTATATTAAAAATTTTATTTCATTCGTCTTATAAAAAAACTTTATTTTTTTGGAGACTCCCAAAAAAACTTTTTTATGAAAGATTTGGAATAGCTTCCAATAACACTCACTTACATCACTTTGAACAACATATTTTTACTTTGGGGTAAATTTCACAAATGTTACCTGAACTTTAGCTGGAATTTCGAAGTGGTACCTGAACTTCAAATCCTTTCACAAAAATCCCTGAACTTACACAATCCTTTCACTAATGAGCCATTAGCCCGTTTATAGGTTAACTTCCGGTCATTAGGGCCAAATTCGAATTTTATATATTTTAAAATTTTCAATTTGACCCCATTTCTTCTTTTCTTTTCTTCCACGCCCCGCCGCCGCCGCCCGCCGGTCAAACTCGCCGGAAAATGAACTGTTTCCGATTCCGGCGGGACCAATGTCATTCTCTTCGTCTTGAGACGAGGATCAATAATATCCAAATCATTTTGTCTAATTTGGCCTGTAACTTCTCGAATCTGAATTTTTCTACTCGAAAAAACCCTAAAATTCGAAATTTGATCCAAAATCGGGGGTTTTGCAAATCTTCATCAAATCTTGCAATTGAGGGGTCCTTGGAAGTCGCCCGGATGCCACGACCGCATTGGAGTTGGTGCCCGCCGTAAATTTCGTCGGAAAACGCTTCGACCCGCCGGCGGATTTCGGCGGGTCGGAGCGTTTTCCGGCTAAATCCGGCGAAATTGACGGCGGG